TTTCTTGTTTCGAACACACCCCCAATTTTCAATTGCTAATTTTCTGAGGCAAAGGTACACATCGTATATGAACAAAAACAGTAATGCTCAAGTATTCAGTATTATAAAGCATAGAGAACTTTAAAGCTATCAGTACCTTGTGACACACCTTAGGATTTAATTTGCGAAGACAAACAAACAGCATAGGAATACTGACTAACCCATATAAAGCAGGATCTTTTACATTAATTTTGAATGAGTTTACCTTCAAATCAAGTTAACAGCATAAAAATTGAGAGGCTACAGAAGAAAACAAAAAATTACAAAAAGCTGGCTTTTCTCCAGAAGGAGAAGAAGAATGAAAGGCACTGGGCAAAAACAAAGATAGGCTGACATATACATTTTTAGTTATATATGCAGATTATAGGTTTGGATTTAGGAAATAATAATATGAGGAATTAAGGATTCCTATCAGGAGCTTGAAAAAAGTATTTTTGATTTTTATTGTACTGTATATTATTTATTTTATTTTACTTATTACAATAACCTTACAATTTAGCTGCCAAGTAAGCATGCACACATTAGTCCTGTGAACTGAAGTTGACTTGATTCTAATTGCCATGGGGAAAAAAGCTTTCACACATCCTTTAAGATGTTTATTCTATTAAGCAAGATGTCAATAACTGGTGAAAATGCAAGCAGTACAATACTTCTGATGTTTGGTCTTGGGGTTTTGATTCTAATATGTGCCTGATTCTATAATACTAAATTCTAATAATAGGGCGGACACTGAATTAAAAGTTAACAGCCAGGCTTTTCTCCTATATATCAGCTTCCAAAATTCTTCTGAGCTGCTCAGTACTAAGAGGGTAATTCCACAGGTCTGTACAAAGCTACAAGATGTTTTAACTTTTCTAAAGTTTTTTACTTCCTCTTTTAAATTCAAACCTTTTTTTCCAACATAGCATATAAAATACAAATATTAAGAGTTTGTTCCAAAACCTATTTACGAAATATTTATTTTATTACATTAAAATGTCTCTTTCTAAAGTAAAGAACGCTATTAACAGGTATAACTCTGGCAGCCAGGAGGGAGGGAGGAGGATGCATGGCTGGACACGGAGCAGTGGTAGCGTGGGATGGTGGGCGGTGGTGGTCACAGACATATATCCCCACCTACTCCCTGCATCCAGCCAGCTGGGTGGCAGCTGTACAGCCTACAGAGGGGTACCGCTGCCCTCACCCCTGCCCAGCCCTGTTCCTGGAGGTGGCTGCGGCGCAGGGCAGTGGGTGGTGGAGGGTGGCTGCGCTCCATCCTCACCTGCCTGCCCGCACGTATCCCCTGGGACTTTCCCAAGTACCCCAGGGGTACGTGTACCCGTGGTTGACAACCCCTGTATCAAAATAAAAGATAAAGGCAATAAGTCTAAACTGAAATTTGTAATAAAAAATAAGTTTTTCAGGGTTACTATCTTATCTGCTTTCTCCTGGACCCTATGATGGCAGAAAAAAATATGTAGTTATGCAGAAAGTGAGAAAATGTTCTTCCTATTTACATCTTGCCATTGCTCCTTCAATTGATGAGAAGTTGTGCCTACTCTTCACGTGCAGCAACTACAGTAACTTTTCTCTAAGCAAAGGTAAGTTCTTATTTGGCTGTTAATCACTTGGTATACTTTGGGGTACGCTATTCACCTATTTCTGGCACAATGAGGACTAATCACTGGTTTGGGATCAATAGTTGAAACAATCATTTTTATGGCTTTACTTTTCTTTCCTGAATGAAAACAAAAAAGAACAGAAGGATGAATAGAATAGTTGGAGATGTTTCCTCTGGGATCTGTAAACCAGTAAGGGTGGATGCCAAGGAAGCTACTGAATAGGGAACAGACCACTCTGGAGATATCTAGTCCAATGTTTACCCTCTATAGCATCCACTCCTGCCACTGTCAGAGAGAATACTGGGCTAGATGGACCACTGGGCTGACCCAGCATGGCAGTTCTTATGTTCCTCCATTAGCTTATCACAACTAAAACCCAGAAAATGTGTCTATACAGTTCATCTACATTTTACCTTGCTGTTAGAGACATGGGAACTTAATTTTATATGGGTTTATATTCTGCAGTATGAAAATAGTTTTGTAAAACAAATTCTTCTCGTATGATCTCCTACCTGATATATTCTGAATGGGATGTAACGAAATCCACTATCTTCTGGAGTATATTCCATGAGTTTCCGATTTATGGCCCAAAATTGTTCGAATTTATCTGTAGAGATAAACAATTATATTATTTTAGCATTAATGAAGTCTGTTTCTTTAAGGAAAGAATGTACAAAATATGACTGGTAAAAATATACAGAAACACTAGGCATCTATAATCCCTCTGCCCCGAGAATTTTGCCTGTGTGTGAATATTTTCTTCTTCAATTTCTGCTCCCTACCCAAGCTTTAATTGGATGAACTGTTTTCCCAGTTTGCAGAAATAAACACAGGTCAAGAAATTGACATTGTGCCACTACAATCAAGATGTGATGACCTGTCAGATAATAAAGGAAAATAGACCGAATTTCACTGTATTTATTTCATTCAAAGAAGTACTGCATAATACTAGTGACAATGGAAAACAGTTATTGCCACTGATCTCCACTCCCCACTTCATGTCCAATGAGTGTTCTTATCCAGAGATGGAGAAAAAGGTACAACATATAGGGAAGCTATAGCAGAGAACATAAGGAGCAACTTGAAAACTAATTTTTTTAATGTTTTTTTGTATTGATACTGAATTTTAGAGAAGAGTCTTTATGACATGCATGTCAAACTCATCTGGTCTCATGTACTGGATAAGCAACACCAGGCCGGTCCACAGACTTCATCAGGCCACCCCACTCCCCCCCACCATGCGCCAGATCCAGCACATACAGCATACCCATCCCCACCCAGAAAACATTGCTGGAGCACTCTGAAAACAATAGTAAACGTTTTCCATGTTTCATAAGCAAGCTCATTTTTGTATATTGTCTACCAATTCAAATAAAAAAACTTCCTGATCTTATTTTTGGCAGCATCAGAAACAGTGAAATAGTTTAAAGACAGCACACAATACCCCCCCCTCCCATCCCCCATTCAAGTACTCACAGGATAAAAATACATAAAACACCATGATTTAAATAGAAAATTAGGTATTACAGTGGCAAATGATTTATAAAAAAATATACTCAAGACCTAAATCTATTTAAAAAAAACCCAGCATGTTATAAATAAACCCTGTCAATTATCAGAGAAAGACATAATATAACCATTGTGGTTCAATCCAGCATATAAAGGTGTTTATTTATTCTAAATGCTCTATTAATGATTAAGATGATTGCTGAAAACTCAAAGAGGAATTAATTATCCAGATCTGTGGTTACTGAAGTATGAGCTACTCCTGCAGGTCAGTGACTGACGGAAGAGGCAATGCAGATTGCACATATACAAATACATGGGTTTCCGTAGAAAGGCTATGGCCTAAACTAGGGGTCAGCAATCTCCAACACATGTGCCAGAGGATGGCATGTGAAGCCATTTTGCTCAGCACACCACAACTGACCCTGGCTCGGGGCAGCTCCTTGCCACAGAGCCTAGGCTACTTGCAGCAAGTAGAAGGGAGGCTGCAAGCAGCCCAAGCTCCATGGCAGGTGGCAGCAGCCTACCCAGAGACCGGGCTGCTTGAAGCAGGTAGCCGCAAGGCTGCAAGCAGCTGCACTAGGACCTGGAGCTATGACCTGATTTGTTGCCACCAGCCATTGCACACACACCTTGGGGCAGAAAGCAGCGAAGAGGCTGGGGGTAGTACAGCACCTGGCCTCTTCCCTGCTGTGCACCCTGAAATGAGCATGAAGCCACCACCAGCAAACAGCCAGGCCAGAGCTCTGGACCCCAGTGCAGTTGCTTCATGGCTACCTGCTGTGAGCAGCCCATGTTATGTAGCAGGCAGCATGGGCCTACCCAGAGCCTGCATTGCTTGCAGCAGACAACCACGAGGCTGCAAGTGACTGCACTGGAGTCTGGAACCCCAGCCCAAGTCCTTGCCAGCAGCAGCTGCATGCATGACTCCGGAAGCAGAGGGGAAGGGGCCAGGGCTGCACTACCACAACAAGGACTGGGCCCCTCGTAGCTCGCCTGCCATCTGCCCCTGGCATGCCAACATCTTCCAAGTTGAGGTTGCAGGGGTTTTTTGGTGTTCAGCCCAAAAATACTGCTGACCCCTGGCCTAAAGGAATATTACAGGTTTATTCTTCAGCTTAATGAACATGTTACTAGAAATAAGTAAGAATATGAAGAAAGAATATCCTCCCTAACTCTTTCCCTTAAGTAAAAATATCAGGAGCACAGATGATAATAGCAGCAAGTATGCAATAATATTCTTCTAGTCCCCTGTAGGTTTGTGTAGCACACTGAAGTCTGTGCCACTGTGGCTTCACTAGTATTCTTACCTGAACTAGTTAAACTAAAGCTAGGTTATGATAAACCTAGCCAGAGGTGCTGAGCACATGGGTGCCCAAGGGCCCTGCCCCTCCTCGGGAAGAGGGCTGTCACTTGAAATGCGTAAAACTTTCCACCTCCATCATTTTAGCTGCCCTCTGCCTTCCAGCCTTCCTGGTGAGGGGCAAAAATAAAAGTCAGTGCCGATGGGCCTAGCTGTGCTGTAATCACACCTCCTGACTGGCCAACAAACATGCCTTTTCATTGATAATATCTGTCCATTACAGTGACATACTACATGAAGCAATAAAGATACAGAGGTAAAATTACCAATGGAACTATAATCCCTCTAATGTTACAAAGGACACCATAGCAGATAGAACAAAACTAAACATCAACACCTAGACCTACTTTACCTGTTCAAAGTTCAGAAAAATGACAGGTTTCAATACTGCAGTGGTCCCCAAACTAGGAGTTCCAACCCCAAATGGGATCACAAAAGCTACAAGTGAGCTTGTAAACCCACAGGGGCCCTCAGTTCCCTGATTCTGCAATTCCCCTGCAATCAAACTGGGGCAGGAACTTATGCCTCCCCCCCCATTTTTTTCACAAATGTCTGCATTTATCCCATGGCAAGCAAAAATTAAGACAAAGCAACTCAGTCACCAATGAAGCAAGCCCAAGTTGTCCTTATTTAATTTTCACCTACAGCAGAATACCTGGGGTAGTTAAATCCCTTGTCCATTAATGGACCAAATGGTAGTTAAATCCTTTGTCCATTTACATGGACAAGGAGAAGCTACTACAGTGTGATAAGCAAGCAAAATTATAGGTCCATAAGTGGGGTCATATTTAGAAAAGGTTTGGAATTACAGTATCTAAGAAAATGGGTGTGGCCATATGTATTTTTGGAGTTGTTTCAAAAGGGAACGAAGCAGTTTTAAAGTTGGTTAGAATGGCTTTGCTCATTTGTATTGTTCTTGGCTTGTCACAGTAACAATCAAATCATTAACAGCTGCTGCGCTTTTGAAACCGGTCCAAATGTATGCATGTCTACACCCAAAAGTACAGAGCTCGGAGTTCTCACAGACAAAAGGCCAGAGGTACCAGAGAGTCTATTTTTGCCAAAAGAAATTAATCTCCACACTCAAAGTAACTCCTAGTAAAATGAGAAAGTCCGGATTAAATCAGACTGTGTTATAAGACTTGAGCTATATGTTTCTTTTTAGTGTCCTGTATACTGCCTATATAATAAAATCCTTGCATAAAAGATAATTACATGCCAGACAATCAATAACCATTTTTCCAATCTTCACTCCAGCTTTCAACTCCCAGAGATGGAAGAAAATAAAATGCGCAGGCACAACACACACCCATAAGAATACCCACCAGAACCTGGAAGGCTAAAAAGGCCCTAAGAGCTGTTATCAGCAGAGTTCAAGAGCTAATTAACCAGGTAATATATCAATTTTCATAGCCAACTTGACAATTTTTCCTTGAGTTATTTTGAATAAAGCTACATTTTAACCATTGTATCTATACAGTTAATCACTAATAACCTTAATTAAGGAAAATTATTCTAATGGAGCTTTCTGCCTTCTTTCTTCTATTAATTTATTAAGGGCTTTTCCTACATAATATTTGTGCTTCAATATTTCCTCTTCTGCCTGTTCCGTCCTTTTTCTTTTCTACACCTAATTTTGAACATAATGCAACACTGAAATATCAATATACGATTCTCTCACAATATTAACTTACAATATTTGTCAGGTTTACCCATTACTGGTCACTTTCTTCAACGTTACTAAATTACTGAAACAATCCAAGCCTCGTTAATAACTTGGAGAGGGTGGGGGGGTCATATTCTAAAACTTTGTATTACTTAAAGTAAAATTGCAATAGCAATTTTAAAAAGGAGATTTTTTTTCCAGATGTCCTGCTTTGTCATCTAAGACAAAGACCCAGTTCCAGAAAAACTGGCCCGACTTTAATGGAATCAGACATCTAGCCACCCTTGTTTGTCCTGACATAGACTTCCTATGCATCTACACAGCTTGTAGCACCTTCCTGCTCTATCTGAAGCTACAGACAAGGTAATCTTTAGCCACTTATAAAGCATGGGGAAGTTGTTGCTCCACAGTGTGCATCTGCTGTTACAGTAAAATTGGTACACCTATATGTTTCTATAGTAAAATAAGTGATCTACATTACAGCAACTTTAACCTGAGTGAAACAGGGATGAAGTTACAGTGCTTTTGCCACACTTCTGCCATTATAGGGGCATGCAGATACAAGACTTACAGAGTAATAGCCTGTATTATATGGGAAGCAAGTTTTTCCAGTGATATCTTTTACTGGATCAACTGTATAGTTGGGAGAGATGTTAAACAAGCTTTCAGACACAAAAGCCCTTCTTCAGCTTATAATACTGACATCATGGTATAGCCTGAGTATTTAAGTGGCATGCTACCTGCTTAACTGCCAAGAGGTAAATGGTGGGATGAAAGTACTTCCTCCTTTGAGAGGTAAATAGGTCATGCAAGAGACTATTTGGAGGAGAAGAGAGGAGGAGGAAACTGGGTAAAAACAAGGAGAGAAAAGTAAACACACAAATATATTTAAGGAAAACACACAAACTGAAAAGAAAAGAAAGAACACAAAAGAAATTACTAGAACGTAGGAGGTCAGAGTGCAAGTAAAGGACAACACAAACAAGACAGATGAAGCATCTAAGAAGATACAGCTTACCAAAAATGGTGACCATTTCTAAGCAGTAAACTTACCATACATGCTGCAATTTGC